CACGAGTCATAATCTCAAACATAAGCGACAGCAGAAAAGGTTTGGGACAAGACCCTCTGAGGGGAGCCTGGGGACCGCGACCTCACAGCAATTCCTTCTGGAAAACTTGACCCGTCTGGGCCCCATCAGATTAAGCGTTTCGAAGGCCTCCGGATAGTCTCTGCGCCCGCTGCCGCAATGGAGCGGATTGCTCGCGTTACGACAAATTCTCACATCCCCATTCGATCGCATTACGTGTTTGCCGGATTGGAACTCAAACAGTGACGTGTTGTACCCTGCATGTGCAAGCTATGTGGTGCAAGCTGTCTGGTGCAAGCTACGTGGTGCACCCTACGTGGTGCGAGCTACATTGTGCAAGCTGTGTCGCGCAATCTAATATTGTATTGCCAACCGCGCGGTGCAAAACGCGTGGTGCAAGCTACGAGGTGTAGGCTCTGTGGTGCAAGTTATGCGGTGTAAGCCACGTGGGGCAAGCCATTCGGTGTAAACTACGCGGTGCAGGGCATGTCCTCCTACAGGCAGATTTTGGGCGACACATAAGAAATTGGAAACATAAAAAATAGTCAAAAAATACTCCCAACTGATCAAACATAGTCGAAGAGTCGTCCCCAGACTATCTTTTTACCATTCTTGAATATCCCTCCTGTAGAGGGACAGGCCCGATCTAAAACTACGCTGTGCAGGGCATGCGGCACAAGCCTCGCGGCGTAACCCACCGAGGGCAACTCCCTCCGGATTCGAGATCGCTCGAGCTCCTGATGAGGCTCCGCTTGCTGTGATCCTCGACCATTTAACGACCGCCCATGTTCCCATTGCTCGTTCATTGCCTCTCTCCCTCGAGCTCGAGCGATCTCGAACCCTCTCGGCCAGCGCACGGCGCGCCCACGCGAGGGCAATGCCGGGCACGACAGGGCCCACGGGCGGGCACGTGCCCGGCGGGCAAACGGAGGGAAGACCCGACGCACCCTCCAAAGTACAACGCGCCCGCAGGGCGCCCACAGGCGGGAAGCTGGCGAAGACCCAGGAGCGCAAGCACTGGTTAGGGAAACATGCCATGTTCTTCACACGACACGTGCACCAACACCGGTCACGCACGCTGCTGCGATGGAGATGCCCCCCCCCGTTCGGCCACCCTCGTGGCGATACGCAGAGAGATACGACGAGGAGTCCCACCAGCCCTTCAGGGCTGAGGTGGTCTGACGCGTTTCCTCTTCGAATCCCTTTCTTCACAACCAAGGAGGGTTTCGTCACTTCTCCTTATTGATAAACGCACACCCTTCCCCCAAATCGCCTGGCGACCGACTAAGAACAACGCCCCCCCCCCATTATCCCTGCCAACCAACCATGCAAAATGCACTTGACGGCAAAATCTAAACCATGGTCGGGCGCCCTGCGATCACTTTGGTATGTTTGTTGACAAGGGCGGCGGGGGGGGATCGTATTGCCCGCTGCGCGCAAGCCCACCACCCGTCAAAAACACGTGCAACGTGATTGCGGGTGCAACACGCAATACAGAATGCTGGCAATCCCGCCGTTATTTTGCAGTGGTTTTTGAGAGGAGTAATGGGGGGTCAACAAATTGCCCGATGTGTGCGATGATGCGCGCTGGCGCTCCTGGCGCGGCGGAAGCACGCTGCACACTGGGCGCATGTGGAGCACGTGGTGCAGCTGGCGCACCAGGCGCGCCTGGCTCGCTTGGGCCCATAGAGCACCTGGCGCACCTGTTGCGCGTGGCGCGCACTTGGCTGGCGTCTGCCTTGGTTCCCAGTGGGTGGCGATGGTGGCGCCCCTGCCTGTGCTGAGACTCGGGTGCTATTTGTGTAGTGGAGCGGCGGGTGGGAGTGAGCGAGACAGCTTGCGTCGTTCCCGCTGGAAACTTGGTCACTGCCCCCCATTGATAAACGCCTCCTCCCCCACACGACCGACAGCCAACCATGACCCATGCACACACACACACACACCGCCATGCCTGCCAAGAACGATACTAAATAAATTCTGATTCCAAATCAAGCATGCGCGGACCCCCCGCGACCACTTTGCATTGGTTTTTGACAGGGACGGCGGGGATGCTGGCGTATTGCTTGCTGCGCGCAGGCCAACCGCCCCCCACCATCGCATGCAACAAAATGCAATTCAAAATGCACGTTGCACCAATATCTAGATCATGCGCGGACGACCCGCGATCACTTCGCATTGGTTTTTGACAGGGGCAGCATATCGCCTGCTGCGTGCAACGCAAACATACCCCGACCGCTCGTTGCAAACGACAAGACAACATGTACTTCTCACCAAGAACTGGATCATGCGCGGACGCCTCGCGCTCACGTTGCAGTTGGGATGGCGGGGGTGGAGGCAGGCATATTGCATGCAGCGTGCATGCCCACCGTCCCTCTCGAAAGGAATACAACACACGAGCTTGTTTGGCCAAGGACGGCCTGGGGGGTGACATGCTGCCTGCCGTGCGCAGGCCAGTCGTCCCTGTCAAAAAAACACATGCAGAACGATCGTGGCCGCACAACCGCACACAACAAACCCACCGTCCTTTGGCATCGGTTTGTGACAATGACTGTGGGAGGGTCGACAGATTGCCCAATCTGGTGCACCTGATGCGCGTGGCGCAGCTGGCACGTGCGGCGCACCGCGCGAGCTTCGCGCACCTGGCTGGCCGTCAGCATTGGTTCCCGATGGCTGTCCATGGCCGCCCCTGCCCATGCTGAGACTCGGGTGCTACGCATGTGTTGGGAGGGGCGCACATCCACTTCGGCACCGCCTGCACCCCGGGCTTCGCCCGCTCTGGCCGCCTGAGGCCCCGCCTTCCTGTGCCCAGTCTCCCTAATTAAAGCTGTGCGTAGCCCGCCTAGCTTTTAGCGGAAGAGGTTCGCTCTCGCCCCGCAGATCAAAAAATGTGCTGGGAGGGGCGGGCGGGAGTGAGCGAGACGGCCTGTTGCTTGTGAGTAGCTTGGCCCCTCCCCTTACCCCCTCCCGCTGGGTCTGGACGGGCCGCCCCGCGAGGTGTCGGAGAGCCCTTATGTGGCCCAAGATGGCTCCAAGGTGGCCCCAGAGAGCTCAAGATGGCCTTCGAGATGGCATACGACAGCCCGAAATTGCTCAAGATAGTTTCCCACATGCCTCAAAGAAGCTCCAGCACCTCTCGAATACTACTCTGAGTAGCCACGGAGCCTCCAAGCGACGCGCTCGAGTTGTCACATTCCTTTCAAGACACAAGTTTAAAGCATCGAGTGGATTGGTCTTCTCGCCTGTGCGCTTCCAATGGGTTTCTGAGGCCTCAAGGTAACTCCAAGATGCTCCAAGGGGGGCCAAGAAGGGCTCCAAGACGGCCCCAAGACCGCCCCTAATGGGGCTCCAAGAGGAGATGTTTGGGGCTCCGCAGGGGCGGCGCTGTCGGGGCCACACACCCTTCTTTGATCGATGTCCTCCAAGATGGCTCCAAGAGAGGCTCCGAGGCTTCAAAGAGGACCCCAAGAGAGCCCCAAAGGCCTCCCAAATGGCCCCAAGAGGGCCCAAGTGGGCTGCCAAAAGGCTTCTACATCGAAAGATCCGAGAAGGCATGTCCGGTGCGACGGCTGCCCTTGCCCCTGTTACACTGTTTGCTCATACACGTCCCTGATCTACACAACTGGCCTGGGCATCGTTTCTGGATGGGCAAGTGGGGACACGCAAAGAGTCAAACATTGTATGACAACGGCTCGCGGCGATCAAGAGAGACCAGAGACGCACGCAATGGCACAGCCGGGCATCTCAAATGAAGCACGTTTCCCCACACCAGCAAGCCTTGCAAAGCCAATTGAGCTTCGAAGGCCCGTCCATCCGGACCACCTTGGAAAAGTCGTTGGTGACCTGGCTGCTGCTGGGCGCCGCAAGCCCTTCCGACCTTTCACGCGACCGACCAGCTCCACAAACATCCAGGAGGCCAGCGTCAACTTCACATGGGGGCTCGCTTGGACGTCACTGAGGCTGGCTCGCGTCGGCAGGTGGTTGCTTGCAAAAGCATCCACCAAACGATCGAACATGTAGGGCACGCCCGAAGACCATCTGAAGGATTCCGTGACGCAAGCGCAACGATGCTTTCCATTATGACAGGATGCACATGGGCATGAAACCAAAGAATAAAGTTGCATGATCTGCGCAGATGCGCGTCTGACGTCGAAACCACTCAAAGGATGAAGGATGCATCGATCGGCTGATTCGTTGATTCGTTCCTGCTCTGCGTAATTCTGCTGATCAAACTATTCAGGCTTGCCCCGAATGGTGTTTCACTTCTCGTGGATAATCCAGCACTTTAGGGCGCGCATCAGATGGGCGGGATTGCCAACCATTCGCATTGTCCACGCGTGGGTACGCCCGACAGCCGGGCAAGTTCACCAGCCGCTGGACTTTGCATTCAAAGGGCTGGTCACCAAGGGGGCCGCACAGCTGTCCAGTAGCCTAACGCCTGACTTGTCTCCTAGATCTCCTCGTCTGCTTCCTTTAGCTTACCCTCGGGCGTTCGTTCGAGCTTGTCTTATGTACTGCCTTCTAGCTTGCTCCCTTTGTCTGGCCTTCTGTCGACTCTTTACCGTACCTTCTCATCCACCTGTCATTTGACGTCTGTCATGCGTTTGGTTTGTACCATAAGTGCGAACTTGCATCCGAGAGTTGGTTTGCCCTCGTGCTTGTCGTGGAGCATACCTTATCTTAGCCTGCCCACTTGTTTCATCGCTTGCCTTTAGCGTGCCCTCCCGCTCATCTGCCAGCGCGCATCTTGGCTCGCTTTCAGACTTTCCTGTAGCCCGCAGGTCCTGCATACTCTCTAGAATGCCGCATGGCTAACAATACTGCTTGCTTTGCTTCCAGTTCCCCCCCCCGCCCAACTGACCCTCTCATTGGACGTGCGCACGTGTTCTGACATGCGGTCCTGTTCCACTCGCCCGCCCCCCGACACCCCGCGACGGTCCACCATACCCGCACAGCGGATCCAGGAAGAGCTAAGCAGATCATCGTATGAGATGTTGGAAGCTTGGATCCTCAAGAACGATCCCAGGGCCTCGGAAACGGCACGAGAACGTGAGACAATAGCGCGCACGAGTCCCAGCCGCCAGTGGGGTCTGGGGCCCTTCGCAGGCGACTTCAGCATTCAACGTCGAGTGCGTGTTTGAGGGCATACTGGCACTTCACGATCTGCCTGCGGCGCGGTAGCGGATACACGAGCCTTTCAAGTTGATATCACGTCTTTGTTCTAGCTTTACGAAAAGAAGGAGGTTGCGCAAGGTCAGAGAATAGACGCCAAGCAGGTTAAGGCGCGCGAGTAGAGACCATTCCATAATTTTCGAATGCAAGCGAGGATTTATTCTGGACAGTAAGCGGACATCGAGCTTGACTAAGCAGTCGCATGGTCATGATGGCCTTTCTGGCGTTGAGAACGCCCAGGACGGCCCATGAGGCCAGCAAGACTGCCCTCCCCTGAGATGGCCCCCCGAGGCTCCCAAGAGGAGAGCAGATGCCTCCTAGACGGTCCAAAGAGCAGCCACCTTAAAAAGCTGCCAACAATAATTCATCACCGCAAGCACAACGGAAGCACCCCGCCAAGATCGACTGCCGACCCAAAAAGGCCCCAAGAAGCCCCTGAATATGCCCCCGAGACGCCCACAAGAGGCCCCCAAGAGGCTCCCTGGAGGCCACCAAGGGGCCCACAGAGAACCGCAAGTGGCCACACCTCAGACAAACGCGGTACCCCCGACCAGGCAGGCACGGCGGCATTACTGGCAATTTCCGAAAAGACACAGCTTCCGACCGGCATCGGACAGTGCCTGCTCACAGCGCGTTTGCACAAGATCACACACACACACACACACACTACGGGGAGGAACAATGCGAAGCCGAAATCGGAGGCAAACGAGGCCCTCGACGAGAGGGACGCAGCAAACAAAACATCACCATACAACTCTGGCTGGGCCGAGCCGTGCGCTTCAACTGCGAGCAAAACAGAGATGGTAAGAGTACTACTAGCAGGGATTTGACACGTCGAATGCCGAACTGGCTCCTGAGACGTGGAAGAAGAGATGCGCCATGAAGCACCGTGAGGGCATCGGACCTCGTCATCGTCTCCACGGGCCTGCGCGGGTGGGCGCTCTGCGTGAACAGATAGAGCTTGAGAAACAGGCACGACACCAGTGACCGCGTGTGGTCCAAAGGATTGTGCTGGCCTGCGCCTCTCGAGTGCCAGCACGTGCATTCAATGAGATCGTGACGCCACATATGCATCAACTAGCCTCCGCTGCGCCAAGGAACTGCAAAAGACGCTGCTAGCGATACCGGTTCTGGAGACGGCATGCAAAGACAAGATGGTCTCAATCGGACGGAGTATTTGCCCAGAGTAGAAATACAGCTGGAGTTCCGAGTGGCCACAAACCATGCCAACGTGCCCCCGCTCTTACAGAGGGAGGCGACGGATGAGGAAAAAGAGAAGAACGAGGAGGAATATGACGAGAAAATGGAGAAGGGGCCCGCAGGGAAGGGAGGGTGCGGGCAGAATCGGGAGAAGAATAGGGACAAGGAGGAAGACATTCCTTTCCCTCCTCCTCCCTCGTCCTTGCCCTCCCTCCTCCTCCCTCCTCCTCTCCCTACGATTCCATCCTCCTCCTATTCTTCCTCGAGGAGGACGAGAAGGAGAAGCAGCAGCAGGCGTAAGAGGAGCAGCGCAGATGTCAAGGTAACTACTGCTGACAGAACGAAGTATGCCGAGGCGCCGCGGCGTTGACTGGAGGCCCCCCAAATCAGGCCTGAGCAAAGAGACTTCGGGGCGAAGAGAATCGGGCTCTGGGACATGCCCGCATCACAGATGCGTCGGCGATGCGGCGTGGTCCTCCGACCCTGTCTGCTCCCGCCCCGGTTGGCCAGTTGGTTGTATCAGACGAAAAGGGGGGGAAATAGCAAAGTGGGGTCACGGTTAGCGAATAAGCTCACGCAGCTGGCTGTCCTGGCGCATCCCCGCGCCAGAGGCGCCCGTGCATGGAGTAAAGCGCCTGGCGGCGGGGCCGAAACCAGCTGCGTGCATCAGATTTCGTGCCACACCCCCTTTCCCGATCCCTCCTTTTCTCCGGGGCCCAAAAACAGCGTGGTGACGGAGCGCGCGGTGACCTCGGAATCCTCAACGACTCACCGCGCGGTCCCTCACCGCACGGTTTGGCACCTCGGAGGCTCCAGTTGTTTGAGACGTCCTCAGACGCCAAGACGCCCCCAAGAGGCTCCCAAGAAGCTCCTAAGCGGCCGCCAAACTGCCTCCAGAGGTCCCCGACAGCCCTCCGAAGAGACCCCAAGGAACATTCATGAGGACTCTGACCCACTACCCAGGCACGGTGGCGGGATGGCCGCAAGCCATTAGATAATCCAAGAGTGGCCTGAAGTCATCCGAGCGCCCCAAGAGAGCCCCCAGAGGGCCCCTGAATTTCAGGCAAGCCCTTGACATGATCATACCAGGAGCCTTTGGTATGACACTGTTGCGGGCTGTTTAGGGGGCCCTCATGGAGCACTCTTGGCCCTTTAGAACCTCTGGGTGCCCTTCGGGGCCCCTCTTCGAGGATTCTGGGACTCTCAGAAAGCCCGGAGAGAGCTCCAAGAAGCCTCCAAGAAAGCCTGGAGAGAGCTCCAAGAGGACTCCTAGGTGGTCCCCAACAGTATCATACCAAGGCAGGGTGGCGGGACGGGCCGTGGGTCACGTAATCCAAGAGGGACCTGAAATCGCCCGATGGCCCCAAGAGAGCCCCCAGCGGGCTCCCAAGGGATTCTCCAAGAGACGACCAGGCTCGACTCCCAGATGTTCAGGAATGGCGCTGTATTGCCGCCAGACCCCGCCTGACCTAAGACGGCCCCAAGATACCTCCAAGACGGTCCTGGATGGCGACACGAGGTCGCCATGAAGCCTGAGAAGGCTCCCAGAGACCCGAAAAGGCTCCCAAGAGGTCTCACCCTCCTCCTCCTCCTCCTCCTCCACCTCCTCCTGGTTGGGGCTTCGAGGGAACTCTTCGGGGCGTCTGGTCCCAACCTTCCCGAACAACTCCGGCTGTAACCTTCATCATGGGTATCTTCTTCCAGGGTCGGCGGCACCTGCCGTAAGGTCTTCAAAATAGCAAAAAGGGGCTACTGTTAGCGAGTCAGCTCGCGTAGCTGGCTCTGGCTCCTCCCCGCGCCAGAGGCACCCGTGTATGGAGGAAAGCGCCTGGTGGCGGGGCGGAAACCAGCTGCGTGCCGCAGACTTCGAACCCCACCCCCCGATCCCCCCTTTCTTCGGGGCCCAAAAACCAAACCGGATGGTGACGCAGCGCGTGGTGACCTCGGAATCCTCAACGACTCACCGCGCGGTTACTCACCGCACGGCTCTGGCACCTCCGAGGTTTTAGTTGCCCGAGGTCCCCAAACCGCGCGGTGACCCCGACTCCCCGCTGACTCGCCGCGCGATGTGGTCACCGCATCGTTTGGGGATCTCCCGCCTGTCCTTCTTCCCACCCGCACGCGATGTGGCTGAAGAATCGGTTGGCGAGCCGCTGCTCCCGCAAAGCGGAGAATAAAGGCCGGCATCGTCTCTTTTCGCCAACGCGCTCCGGCATATGGCTTGACTGACTGACTGACCCGTTTCGTCCGAGCCGAAATGGCCGGCCCAGATCGGGAGCGCGCAAACATGGATCGCGAAAAAAAAAAAAAAAAAAAAAAAAAAAAAAAAAAAAAAAAAGAAAAAAAAAAAAACAAAACGAAAAAAAAAAAGAAAAGGGGTGCCTCCCCAAAATGCGGCCAAAAAGACAAGACATTAAAAGACAATCAAAGTGCCGCCTCGTTCGGCGGCGGGAAATCCGCGATTTCCCATGGAAACGGGACCCGTCGCTAATACACGCCCCCTTAATCCCTGTTTGCGATCGCCTGACCAGAGCTTGCGGGGTGCCTTGCGGTCAACCTTCCGTCGGGAGATGACCTCCCCCGAGATGGGCACCTCGCGGGCCGGGGCCGCGCTGGGGCGTCATCGCTCCGCGCGTTCCACGTGGGGCGCAGGGCGAGGAGTGCGGGAAGCAGAGGGGGGAAGCGACGGCGGGCCCCTCCTCCTCCTCCTCCTCCTCCACCTCCTCCTCCTCCACCTCCTCCACCTCCTGGGGGCCGGGGCAAGCCCAGGGCGCATCAACGGTGCTGCAGTGTGCCCCGGCGTGCCAGGTCCCCCTCTCCGAGGTCCCCGGAGGCGTGCCTCCTCCACTGCGGGCAGCGCCCACCGTGGACGACCCACGCCGCGTGGGCCTGCCGCTCAGGCGAGGCCCCGTTGTGTCAAGGGTCCGAGGAGGGAGAGGAGGAGGAGGAGGAGGAGGAGGAGAAGGAGGGTGGGGGAGGAAGGAGGAGGAAGGAGGAGAGGAGGAGGAAGAGGAGGCCGGAGGGATGAGGAGGAGGAGGAGGAGGAGGAGGAGCCCCCCCCTCCCCCCCAACCTTCTAGACAGAAGTAACGCAAACTAGGTGGGACGATGAAGTTCAAGGAAAAGTCCAGCGATGGCCCCGTTTCAACAAAGATCTCCCCGCAATTCTTCCGCGTCTAAGAAGCCGGATGTCCATCAGCACCGCGGAAGTCTCATGCGAGATCCCCGTTCTGAAAAGGAGCCTCCCTTCCCTCCATTAGTGTAACTGCTGCACAATTGGCATTTCGGGTTGCCCGCTGGTCGCAAGAAGTAGGTGGGAACAGAAAGTAGGAAGGCGGACCAAGTAGATTGGGTCTGGGTACGCCCCAAAAAACAGAAAGAACAGCAAGCACGTATCGACTCTTGAATGAGGAAGGCGCTTGAAGTAGAATGGGACCTGGGAATACAGAAACACCACCTACTCTCACCGACCGGAGCATATGGTATGTACAACAGTCTCAAGCGAGGAATCGGCCTCTACACTGGCAATTGCCGGAAACTGTTCACACGAGCGCGCGGCGACTGAGGCGAGAGCCACGCTTTGGAAACGTACTGGCCTCCATCCCTGTAGCTGCTGGGCCACGTCTACACGGAGCGTGCGCGGCGCTTCGGCGAGAGCCGCATTTTGAAAACCAGTGGCCCTCCATCACTGGAACTGCTGGAAAGCCTAGGGCGAGAGCCGCATCACGATCAGCACTCCATCATAGCAAAACGCCCAGCCCGGCCAACGGACACGGCTGGTGGTGCGACAGTCATGTACAAGGACGGGGGACGGAGGATGACCTGGTAAGAGGAGGAGGAGGAGGAGGAGGAGGAGGAGGAGAAGGAGGATGAGGAGAAATATGTAAGTAAGAATAGGAGGGGGATCACGGGGGACGGGAAGCGAGTTACATCGATCCCTACGATTGCTCCCAAAAGAAGCCCCTCCAGAAGCAGCAGAAGTCTTGCTGGACGGCCACATATGGGCTGCTGACGAGAACCCATGGAAAAAACACCACGCTGCATGTCTGCTTACTGCACACCAACGCGAACGACGGGAACTACCTGTCCTGCTCACCGTTCCTGTCAGTGCTGGCACCCCGGCCGACATTTCTCACGCTCGCCCGACAATTTGTCGATCTCACGCGCAAGAGATGATACAGAAGGGAGGGAGAAGGGAAAGGAGACGAGTGAGGGAACGGCGGAGGGGTAAGGAAGAAGCAGAGGCGAGGAAAGGAGGGAGGTGACATGGGTGCGGGAGGTGTAAAGCGGGGAAGGGCGAACTGTGATGGGGAAGAGAAGGGGCGAGCAAGGGTAGCGCATGGGAGGAGGCGAAGGGGCGCGTGAGAAGGGATAACGAGATGGCGATGGGAAAACGGGAAACCGGCAAGGGAGGACGAGGGAGAGGAGAGCCAATGAGCCAATGCGTGACTGCCTTGGCCAATGCGATGCTCGGGCGCGATCTGGCAAGCGAGATGTATTTTTTCTCCTGGGGGGGGCCGCGTGCACGCTCGAGACCCCCGCGGATAGATACTCTATGAGGGAGCCCCCGGGTACCCTCGAGAGGCCGGGGGGGCGTGCGCACCCACGCGGGCTGGCTCAGAGTAGACCAGTAGACCCGCTTCGGTCAAGTCGAGAGGGGCCGCTGCGACCCGCAGAGCTCCCCGGGGGGGGGGGCCTTGTTGCGCAGAGGAGAGGAGAGGAGAGGAGGAGGAGGAGGAGGCAAGGGAGGAGGAGAAGGAGGAGGCGACAACGGGGCCCCCCGTGGACGCGCCGGTCAAAGGGGAGGCAGCCAGGGCGGGGAGGGGCGCGGGAGCTGGGGCGGGGAGCCGCGAAGGCAGGGCCTGCAGGCGACGGGGCGAAGCGGAAGGGTTTCGCGGAGCCGTGGGCGGAGGCGGGGAGCCTCTATCTTCCCGGGCCGCGGCGTCATCGCACATGTGCGCGCGCCGCGACGCGCCGGGGGCGCGCGGAAGGAGGGGCAGGCCCGAGGGGGGGGGCGTGGGAAGGGGGACGACCTAGCCGAGCGAATTGCGGGAGCATCGGCCATGAGTGAAAGCAGCAAGGGCTGCGTAAACGAGGAGGGGTGAGGATGAGGGAAGCAAGCGTATGCAACAGCAACTACAGAGATGACTGTAGCGAACACGTGAAATGGGAACGCGGGGAAGAGGAAGAAGCGGAGGAGAAGAGAAGCACGAAGCAAGACCAAGGCAGCAGGTGGACGACAACACAAATCTCGTTGGGAAGCTCGTACTTGCTCAGATACCTGCACGTTCTTCGCCCTTGGGACAGTGTCCCATCCACGCCGCGAGGGCCTCTCGGACTTCCACAATGGGCGTCCGATAGCTTGCAATCGTGCTAGAACAAAAAATGAGGGCCATTTGCCCCCGAATCCCCCTTCACTTGAGATTCGCCTCGCCATGCGTCACTTAGGTTTCCCATTCACCTGCAATTTGAACTGGGTCTGCCGAAAATGCTTCCCATAATCCACGACTTCCCTGGTCGCCCACACTAGCGTAGACTAGCCACTTGGACTATGACCCGCCGACAGTAGCGTACCCTGACCTCAACTATCTTATCTGAGACCACCCTATCCACTACCCCAGCCTAGCCTACCATCCACTTGAAATCTCAAATTCCCTGGGCGCTGCCCCCTAAACCGCCTCCAAGAGGCTCTCGAGAGGCCTCCCAAGAGATCCCCACGAGCATCCAAAAGGCCTCTGAGCTACAAACTAGGCACGGTGGCCGAATTGGCCGAAGGCCACTTGCTGTACACATGCAATCCCGCACGGTCCTTTCGATTAGTTCCCTGGTGGCAAAGGGAAAAACCTCCGAGCGCATGCACCTCGGACCCCGATCCAACCAAGATGCTCCAGGGCTCTCACGAAGGCCGCATTGTCAGAGCAGACGAAATGCTGCTCTCGCCCGTGCGCCGCGCAGATTTTGCGTGAAAATGGAAGTGCTGCTTCGGCGAAGCGCATGCTTCGTCTGCGCCGCCTCCATCGAAAAATTGGCCGCGCGAGAGAAGGCTCAATCGTGTGCTCGCCGAAACGCTGCGCGGCGATGTTCTGCCCGTGCACGGTCCGTGTCTCCCCCCCTCGCCACATCGTCGAAATCGGGGCCGTTCGTTAGCGCCTTCCGCTCGCTCTGAAGAACGCGTCCCACTCCCAACACCCATGTGTGCCACCATTGGCTCTTGTGGTATGGGAGGGTGGGTGGGAATGGACGGGGCCAACTGCCGGGACCCCTCCCGTACCCCATTTCCTGGATCTCTGGACGGGGGGGGCGCGAGGCGATAGAGCGTCCAAGATGTCTCCAAGAGATAGTTCAATATGGCTCCCAAGACGGCCCAATACAGCCTGATTGTAATATGGCACGATGAGTTCTCCAACATGACTCCAAGAGGCCACAATACCAGCCCAAGGCGGCTCCAAGTGGCCACGGGGCCTCCCAAGGACCCCAGAGGCCCAAAGCCCTCCACACACACACACACACACACACACACACACACACGCACACGCGCACGCGCACGCGCACGCGCACGCGCACGCGCACACGCACACGCACACGCACACGCACACGCACACGCACACGCACACGCACACGCACACGCACCCGCACGAACGCGCACACGCACGCGCACGCGCACGCGCACGCGCAACACGCACAAACCACACGCACAAATACGCACCCGCCGAACGCGCACACCACGCGCACGCGCACGCGCACGCGCACACGCACGCGCACACGCCACTCGCACACGCACACGCACAACGCACACGGCACACGCACACGCACACCGCACACGCACACGCACTATGATGACCACCCCCGCACGAGCCCGCACAAAGCGCAATCGCGCACGCGCACGCGCACGCACGCGCACGCGCACGCGCGCGCGCGCACGCACGCACGCCGCACGCACGCACGCACGCCAAAACGCCACGCATACGCACGCACGCACACCACACACAAACACACACACACACACACACACACACACACACACACACACACAACACACACACACTCAACACACGCAGGAAACTTCACTGAGTTCGGCCGTCTCGCCTTTTCGTATCCGATCGTTTCCTAGGGTTCCCAAAAGGGCCCCAAGAGAGCACAACGAGATCCCCAAGATATCCTCGAAGGCTTCCAAAATGGCCCCAGAACGGCCCCAGCATGACCCACAGATGAGCTTCCAAGAGACTCCTGAACCAAAATATCAAAAACAAATGTTGTAGTTGACTCCTGTGTCTGATCAGGCTGATCCCGTCCTTCGGTTTGACGGCTGGTCCGCCTTGCTGTTACACAGTTTGCTCCTACGCTTCTCTGGTCAAGGCAACTTGCACGGGCATCGTTTGTGGATGGGCTGGTTGGGATACGAAGGCGAGTCGAACGCCGAGCGTGCTTGGGCGGGGCTGGTTGAGACACGCGGAGCGTCTAGAACACGGCGGGCCTCCAGCTGGCGAGTCTGCAAGAGCCGGGTGGTCCTGGCCAGGTAGTAAACTCGGCAGATTGGGCAGAGACGACAAGCAGGGGAAGGGGTAGAACGGCTAAATGGCTGGAGGGGAGGGGAGACCTTACAACGACGGCCACAACAACGACGACCACGACGACGACGACCACGATGACGACGAGGACGCTTTGCTCCGTGGAGGGATCGCCTGCGTGCCTCCACGTCAACTAGCAACGCCTACAAAAGCCGCGGCCTGGCGGGGGATCCGGCGTCGCGGGTCCGCCCGCCAGCCCGGCTGACCGCCGGCGGGGTTGGATTTGGCCGCGCGGCGGGCCTGGAACGTTGGAGGCGCCGCCCTGGAGCCAGTCGCTGCACTCCGCCATCAAGCCCAACGCGGGCTCGCAGGCATTCGAGCGCCGCCGCCGTGCCCTGCGCCCCTCTCCTCCCATCTCGTCGTCCTTCTCCCCCGATGCGTCGTCCCTCCTCACCATCTTCCCTCCTCCTCCTCCTCCTCCTCCTCCTCCTCCTCCTTGATCCCTTCTTATCGAAGTTAGCTCATCCCTGTTGCATCCATGTTTGTTGCTAAGGCGGGCTGGACGTTTGGCCTGAAAGTTCCTCAGAACTTATGACACTGAAACCTGAAACGCCCAACACATACACGGATGGAGCAGAGGTCGTTTTCAAAATGTGGCTCTCGCCTTGACAGCTCGCACGCTGGCCTTGAACGTTAACAGCAGTGAATCGGATGGAGGGGTGGTAGTTTTCAAAATGGCGCTCTCGCCTCAGCGCCGCGCATGTGAGTTCTCAAAGCTTGCCACAGCTACGCAGATGAATGGTGGCTCGTTTTCCAAATGGGGCTCCCGCTTAAGACTTCCTCATGTGCATTTGGCCCAGCATTCCAAAAAGTCGTGCAACAATTTCCACGGATGGAAGACGGTTCGTTATCAGAATGGGGCTCCCACGTCAGACTTCCATAAGTGTTACTAACCGGAGCCAATCATGGTGCAACTGTTACACGAATGGAGTGCGGCTCCTCAGAGGAAAGGCATCTCTGTAGGAACGTATGAGGTGGGGGCAGGGGGCAGCAGGGTGTACTGCAGCATCGTGGATGCATCTTGTGTTTGCTCTGGCTTTCCGGCCCCATCCTCCTCCTCCCCGTCCTCCTCCCTGTCCTCCTCTTCGTTCTCCTTCCCGTGGCCATTTTGGCTCAACTTTCTACGGCGCAGTGAAAGCCAAGTGGATCACGCCGGTCCACGGCTGGCTCCACGTGGCGGGTCCGCCCGCGTCACTAGCTGCCCCCGCCCCCGCGGGTGAGCAGGATACTTCCATCCTGTGAGCTCCTGCAAGAGCAAACGTGCAAGACTTAGGTCGGGCATGTCCCCCAACAGGCGGATTTTGGACGAAAAATGATGGGCACAAAATGCTCAACAATAATGAAAAATTGTAAAACAATCGTTCACATACGTTTTTTACTATTTTTGAAGATTCCTCCTGTAGAGGGACGCGCCCGACTTAATGTAAGACGGTGGCGTCATGGCGCCGCTACCGCCGGAGGCGTCCGTGCTGCGAGGACCCAGGAGGCCACACCAGGCGTGCGGGCAGTCCGGGCGCTCAGAGAACTGAGCGAATCGAATCGTATGCCCGTGCGGACGGTCAGCGCCCCATCGTATCGTGGTCGATGCTTGAAAGAACGCGGATGCAAAGCTCGAGCATGGTCGTGGCCAGTCTACCGGTATGGCGAAGCAGTTTCAGGAGTTTCAGAAGCACTTCAAGGAGTGGCTTGGGTCAAGTATTGTTCAGAAGTCGTCGGGCGCAACCAACTCTGGATACCCAACCCCAGCAACATTGTCGGAAGGCTACAGCAGGTGCGGCACCTGCAGAGGAGAACGGGGACGCAAACAAGGCCGAGAACGCCAAGTTGGTCGCGCGTGCATCTGAGCTCGAGGCGGCGCCGCGGCAGTAACCTGACACGGAGGCCGACAAGTCCCTGCGGGCGCCGATCCAGCAGGAATTTGAACAGGTGCCTGAGAAGCGTCGTGGCCTGCTCAGTCCGCAGGCAGCGCATTGGAGAGCCAACTAGGACTTGCAAAAAGAAAAACAGGCCCTCAAGCGCCTGGAGAATGAGTTGGCAGGCGCCAGATGGAGAAAATGGCCAATGGCATCGAGGTTCGCAAGGCCAAGAAGCAGGTCGAGGAGCTGTCAGTGCTGTTCGAGGGGACGGCCACGGCGGTCGGTAGCCTGGGGACTCCCAAGGCGACGGTCGGGTTCACCTTTGAGGTAAGGAGGATATCAAGGATCACCCAGAAGTGCAAGCGTTTCTCAGGAGTGCCGAGCGGGCCAAGCTGTGCGAGTTGTTTGCAGTGAAGCTGTCGGTCTCTTGCATTGCTCAGCGTGCTGCTGATGGCCGTGCTGCTGATGATGCTGGGAGTCCAGATTCAAGCAGCAGCGGCGGCGGTGGCGGCAGCAGCGCTGGAGCTGGAATGGCCCCACTCTCAACCGATGACGATCGCAAGCGACTGTACGAGGCACAGGTGCCAGACGAGGAAGAGATCATCTCAAACTTCGA